GCTTGCAGAGAGTTAATTTCTCACAATGAGCACAGTCAGCCCCCTCAAGGACTGACCTTCTTTGCCCATACAAATCACACACATGTCATGAGTGTCGTCGGCCATAATATATCACGGGCGGGCAAGGCGTTACACACCTCCTAAACTTTTTTCCTGACATGTTGGAAACAAACTCTTTGTTCAACCCCCACATACAGGTAAAGCAAACACATGCTCACGCATACGACTTCTGAATACAAAGAAGCTGACGACACACTGGTGTGGCATCTTTTTAGATTTTTTATTGGTGCACTACGCTACGTCACTACGCCATCATGTTCAGCCGATCCTAGGTTGGCGTGAGTAAACGCATGCTTCAGACACCGGGTCACACGAAGCATCCACACAGCGTCAAGCCATGACGAAGCATTGAGTTCCACTCGAAAGGGAACTTGATTTTAGTTTCTCTTGTTTATAAATTGCAATATGATATTGATATAATCTCACCTTAATTTAAGCACAAATGTATGTAAAAAAAAATGTTGTTGAAAAATTTCACATAAAATCAAGTTTTATTTTTATAGAAAATTAATTTGTTAGAGAATGAGCATTAATTTCTATTTTTAGTTCCTCGTCCTACTTGCTGATCGCTTATTAATCTATTATAGCTAACGAGCAAACATGAAATATGAAATGTTTTTAAGTAGGCTACTTTATGTATAGAGATTGTTTGATAACACAAATTTCTAAATATAAATGTGGTTTTGAGTATTCCTCTTTAGAGTGTTATTTACTACTGTAACATAAAGTATGATCATGTCTTTTATTTACAGGCTTAAGTCTACCCACTATATGTACAGGTGCAGGTTTCCTACCTTTTTATTTTTGTCTCCTTATAGTTTACACAAACTTAAGGAGTCCTTATCAGAGAACATTCTGTCATTAAAGCAAAGGTGATAAATAGCCAAGTATTTCTGACTTATATAGGCCTACAAGAAATTTTTAAAATCATGTTATTTTTTTTATTTTTTTTAATTAAGTTTAACTGTTCACTTAACTTGTTAAACCATTTGTAATGTCGTTTTGATTTTGAAGTAAATATAAGAAACACCGCTAGGTGGCAATAGGTGTCGAGGGTACAGTTTATGCAATTTTACTTCAAACTTAACATGTTTATGGGATGATTCTAAAAACTTTTTGGATACTGCTGCAGCGTTGTTAAACTCATAGTTGCACACACATTACAATAAATGTGTTAGGCATTACTATAGATATAATGATGAAACAAATGCATGTATTACAGTTTTTCTCGATTGCTTAAACACATTTCTTGAACCTATGCCTCGTATTCTCAAAACAGTAAACACAAATCCATAACGTCTCACCCAATTCCCCAAACATCCTATTTTCAGGTCAAAATGAAGCTCTACACTCAAAACCATTCACTCTTGCTGAAAAACCAAACTTTGCCCTCAGACAGGACACACAAGCCCTCAGAAATACACACACTACAACATAGTCTTACACACTGGTGCTATAAATTCAAAACAACATTTCCAAAACTGGTAATTCATGTTGCTTGTGGTCCCCCGCCCTCCCTCCCCCCCATCTTTTTTTTCCCCCTCTCTCCTACTCGTACGTAAGATGTGTGTGAGCATCATATGACAGTAAAAGAGCACACACAAACCTTATTCAAATCTGGAATTGTATTGGAATGGTAAAGAGTGTTGGTATGCCTCCACTCAAGGATACAATATGATGAACAAGTCTAAGAATGTTCCACATATGGTTGAAATACCATCATTGGCCTAGAAAGATAACATTCTGGGAGTCAAGACTATAAAGGAGAAAGGATGCCCTCCCTTCACTGTCACACTCTGCAGCCGCTCTGTGTGACTGTACGACTGCTGGCCTTTTCTTGCAAGAACATAAACCTCATCAAAGACAATTGGAAATGTTTGTCTCTTATTCAGTGATAGAAATGTGTTTGCCACCACATCTCCCTGAAGGTTCTGATGATGGAGGCGACGGTGAAGCGACTCAAATTTGGCTGTACTCGTTGCCCAGCCTCCCTCACAGTCATACCATGGACAAGGACATGGCCAACTAAAGTGGCTTGAATTTCATCCAAGACTGCTTGTCTTCTTGCCCTTGCCCTTCCTCCTCCTCCTCCTCCGCCTCTTCCTCCTCCTCCTTCTTCTCCTCCTCTTCCTCCTCCTATTCCTCTTCCTCCTCCTGTTCCTCTTCCTCCTCCTCTTCCTCCTCCTTTTCCTCCGCCTCTTCCTCCTCCTCCTTCTTCTCCTCCTCCTCCTCCTCTTCCTCCTCCTATTCCTCTTCCTCCTCCTGTTCCTCTTCCTCCTCCTCTTCCTCTTCCTCTCCCTCCTCCTCTTCCTCTCCCTCCTCCTCCTCCTCTTCCTTTTCCTCCTCCTCATCCTCCTCATCTTCCTCCTCCTCCTCTTCCTCCTCCTCATCCTCCTCCTCTTCCTCTCCCTCCTCGACATATTGCTTAATTTCTCTGTGGATCCATTGTTCCAAAACTCAGTAAACTGATTGTATAACCTTTTATCTATCTATTGAAGGATCTGACTGATGTGTGTTCAATTTTGACTCTTAGTGTTTTCACCTGGGTAATTGTGTGCTAACTGAGCTGAAGCTGTGCTGACTTGAGTGAACAATTTTGAATGCTAGTGCTTTCTAAATGACCACGTGGTGTAGGCAATGAGAAATGAAGGGATTTGTGTGTAGAGTTTTGCTGTGACAGTTCAACAAATCTGACTAATGTGTCAAAACAGGGTAATAGTGTTCATAGTTCAGTGAAATGGGTGTGCTTTTTGATAAATGGCATTATGGTTTTGAAATTTTAGTTCAAAAGCCTGGTTATAGTGTTTAAGCAATCGAGAAAAACTGTAATAGTAACTGAGATTTTAATGTAATTTCTATCTTTTTAAGGAGAAGATTAGGGTACAATGGTTTTTATTATTATTATTATTATTATTATTATTATTTCTTTATTTCAGACCCATGGGTCCATATAAACATACAACATAAACAACCAAACACCAAACACAATTTAAAAGACATACAAGCTTTCTTTCCAATGCTTCCAAAAACAAGAAAAATACCTTGTATCACTCAATGCAATGTCATTTAAGACCCTAATAATACTATTTTTTGAAACACTCAATCTACATATTATAAAATTATACATACATTTTCTTAAAACAGCATTCAGCGTATGCACATTATTAACCACAAACATTTGGCTTGCACTTGACCACCTTGGGTGCTTAAGCAAAATTCTAAGTGCTTCATTGAATGCCACCTGAAGCTTTCTCATCTTTGCTTTAGAGTATTTACACCAAAGGTGGGCTGTATATAAAGAAGTACAATATGCCCTAAATAGAGTTATTTTAACCTCATCTGTACACATACAAAATTTACGAGCAAGCATATTAGCCTGCCCATACAGTTTACAGCACTGGCGCTGCACATCATCTTCATCATTTAAATCATTTATAATGATGTTTATGGTGCATCTCAATGTTTCCCGCACAGTGAAAATATGTGCAACATAATTCACAATGTACTGTATTTGATTGTATTTTTATTAATAAATGATACGGTAGGCCTATATGGAGGAATTAATTTCTTTCCCATTTGTAACAATGTTTTAGGGATTCCAAACTTTTAAATGGTAGCGTACATTAAGTTTGTTGTTGTTAATCACATAATTTGATTTAAAATGACAATGATCTTTCTTTCTTTCTTTCTTTCTTTCTTTCTTTCTTTCTTTCTTTCTTTCTTTCTTTCTTTCTTTCTTTCTTTCTTTCTTTCTTTCTTACTTTCTTTCTTTCTTTCTTTCTTTCTTTCTTTCTGTCTTTCTTTGATAGACTATTGAAAATAAATTACAGGACAACGGAGTAACCATTTTGTGTGTGTGTTCTCCATCATTTGACATTAACATCTTGACTTGAATTATAGAGACATGGTGTAATGTGATTTGAGTTTATTTCTGAGGTGTAGCTGGTGACCACTGGAATGTCAATTGTAGCCACATTCCTTAAACCCTTTAAGCAGATTTGATATTGGGGTATTATTGTTATTTTCCAAAGGTCACCCTCCATTTCAACATTTACTTAGACAATTTGCAGTTTATTCTTTAAAGACCCTTTTTTATTTTTATATTTCTCTTAAATTTTGTTACAGAAACTGAACAAAATGTATAGGCCCTGTGTCCCAATGGCATTGTAGAAAACATGAAGTGTTGGTGAGAGAAAGCTGCCAAATGTGTTGAAGTTTGCCTCTGCTTTTGTTAATTTCCCTGACCACAAATGTGTTCAGCAGCCATTGAAACACTACAAAAATGTTCATGTACAATTATATACTGTTTAGTGAACAGAATTAGAATACCGGTATGACTGTAATATTTCAGTTTTGTTGTTTACAAGCACAGTGATTAATTACAGTGGTTAATTAATTAATCACTTGTATATTTACAGGTAAATGATTAATGCTCCCATTGCTCCAATTTTGTAGTTCTATTTTTGAATAATTTGCTGCATAATTGTTTTATTGTTGTTTTAATCGATAGTATTAGTAGCTATTGAATGCAAGCGACTGTAAGTTATTATGAATAGATACTAAGAGCTTACACCATTATATCAGCTATCACAAAACTGGTGACTTAAAACGAAACAACTATTTAGCCTATTAATATTAAATCCACCACAATATGTTTTTTGTTTTTTTGGCATTATTGCAGTAATCTGTAAAAATGACCCAATCAATTTCAAATACAAATCTGAATAGCTACAGTCTTGTAACTGTAAGAAATGATTATTAAATCTTGACCAATTCTGTCAATATGTAGCCATGGTGCAGGCAGGGCTATTAAAAGAGCTTAAATCAAACAAAAGCATTTTGGTTTATTGCATTATAAAGAGTTTCAGTTTCGTCTATAGTAAAATAGGGGAGGGGCTATGAAGTAAACCATGGTCAAGAAGGACAATAGTTCTGATTGGACAGAGTCCATGTACCATCGGGAAGACAGCCACTCCTCTCACTACCGCGAAACGACGCGAAAATCTTAATAACCACGTGAATATTTAAGAGAACAAGTTCTTTCCACGCTTTTCACTTACCCGCATTCATGAGAAATGGGTTTATTTAATTTTTTTATGAAGGGATGTAATTTGGATATTTCCGCCGGGTGGTGCATTTCACGGATTTCCCGCAGAAATAATTTTCTGTAATATCTTGGCGAATTTATTTGAAAGACCTCACGGGACGAAACGGTATGTTTATGCATTTGCCAAGTTGGTGGAACATCTGAGTATGTTTCTACGAGGTGGATTGTGATTAGGGTCAATGGGGTTGAAGAAAAGAGATGATAATATAGTTCAGGGTGAGGGGTGTGTGATTGCATGGATCCTTTCGGTCAAGCTCGCTTATAAATGAGAATTCAGTTTATGTCGCCTATTCAACAGGCTGTCGATAGTAAGTCACTAAAGTCCTTAAATAACCCACATTTTAGGTCTAGTTTAATGTAAAGACGTCCAGATGAGCCAGTTATAAGTGCGAAGGAACAGTTTTTTGTTATTGGCACCCTTGTTTATTTTGCGCCTGCTTTCCCAAAAATACAGTTCAGTATGGAGATGGGCCATTTTTTGTAACCTTTTTCTTAATTTGGTGAACAGAACTCTTATATATTTTTTAATTATTATTTGAGCTAGACGTGTATGGTAGCTATTAAACCATTTCGACGTTGGAAAGTTCAATTAGCCTGTAAGCCTTTTCACGATTTTTAAGTTGTCTGTGCCCATGTTTTCTCAGGGAATAGCACAGAAAGGCGTTGAAGATTTCCCAAAACCTAAGGTAAGTTTTTCTTCTGTTGACTGGGTTGCCTTGTCGGTCCCACTGTGCTTTTAGAGTTGTTTGAATGGTCGTGTGGGCCTAGTAGCACTTGTTTATATCCAAAGTTTTTATTATGTAACTGGAAATGTTGTTTTCGATGGCTGTTTTGCTCACTTTATCAAACAATGTGAAAATACACTTTTTGTTTTTTAATTTAGGGGAAAATAATCAGTAGTCTATTTACGAATTCGTATAATAGGCCTACATATACAGGCAAAAGATATGTGTTAAAATAACTCGGGGCTTGACAAAGGTTGTTAAAATGCCACAAAGTCAAACTTCCTGTTTAGGTCGAGTGCTTTTTTGTCCATTGTGTCAGCACCCATACACACAAACACACATAGCATAGGCCTACACCATTGGCTGTGAGGGAACCAGGTCTGAACTTAATGTTGTGAGGATTGCGTATTGGAGTTCGTATAGCAGACATTTAGTTACTTAATTTATCTGTTTAATTTGTATTTACGTAGTTGTTTTTGTAACTTTCGTCTTGTTTCGTCACAGCAGATAGATGAGAATATTTGCTGGCTTTAGGCTAAATGTTGCATCACATTGATATGTTTTTAAAGTTTGTTATTATTATTATCTATGTTTGTCTATAAAGGCACTGCCCTGTTTATCTACTGTTGTTAAAGGTGTAGAAAAATCAAATATAGCTATAGACTTGAGCTGCTTGGTGCCGGCCTGCTTGTTTCTGTACAATACTTTATTCACTACAATAGCCTAGTCATTCTTTTAAAAAGATTATCACTGTGAATGTTTTAAAATATGGTGTAAAAGAGATTGAGCTTACCATTAATGCAAATCATTTGTTCTAACACATGCAGACATGCTTGAATAGCAAAGGTCACTTAACTACATAGAACACAACCACGTGAGCAGCTTTACATTCCTCCTATGCTGCCACCCTGCAGTAGTTTTTAGCATATGTGTTTGCAGATGCCTTTTCTATACTTTAAATACAAGTATGATTGTGATGAAAAAACTCTTTGGTGGGGACCAAAGGGAAAATTTATAAATCTCAAAAACCCATACAAAATTAACCATGATCAACATAATTTTGTGGAGCTTCAGTTTTTTTTTTCGTTTTTTTTTTTTGTCAGTCTAAAGTGAAAAACCCAAATAAACAGAACAGGCCTATCAAAATGTTTTTGCAAGTACTTATGTGTACAGTAACTTGCCAAGTTTTCGTTCTAGATTAAAGCATTCCATAAGTTGGAGAGGGAATTATTAGATTTTATTAGAGATTTTCATAAGAATAGTTTTTTTTTAATTTTGCTAATATACTGGGCCACCAAGAACAACATCATGCAAGTAGGCTATAACTAGATAGTATTAATAGAGATTCCCTGTTGTCTTCAAACAAAGAGAGGTGGGATGTGGGGCAAATAACATAATTAGAGTCCACTGTAATGGTAGGCTACTTGACATTTAACATTATGTGTACTTGAGTCATTTGTATAGGTTGCATTGTTGTACATGGTGTGTGGCCCACTTTTAGTTGCAGTGATGTGGCTGCTTTTTAGTAAATTCGATAAATGTTATACGTACATATTATACAAACGTATTATTATACCTTTTAATAGACACAACATGTATATTGGCAATTTGGCATCTTTGTGGTTTGTGGCAAGGGGTTTTGTGATTTTTTTTTTTTTTTTTACCGTATGTAACTCAGTGTTTTGAGAGTAAAATATTAAACCTCAAAAAATCAAAACTCAAGTTTAAATCAACTAAAAAAAATTATATTTGTCAATATTCGTTTAATTACTGAGGGGCCAGTCAGTTTTTCAAATGATACTATTTAAATTATACTTATTTTATTACGATAATTATTCTATAACAAAACATACATAAAATGTTATATATAATAATAAAATTAAACTATATCAATATTCTGTTTTAAATTAGTTTGATTGCAAACATTTTCAGTTTCTCAAATGTTTAAACTAATATACAATGTAAGTTCATGAAGAAAATAATGATAATAATGATTTAAATATTCCAACTGAGCGAAAAGGAAAACACATTAGGTATCAAATAGCAAATGTGATCAATATTATTATCATGGTTTTCCAACAGTAAATTTCGTATACTAAATCTTTGTGATTAGGAATCATTTATACATCCTGAACTCAGCATTGTTTGTATTTGAGGTTCTAACTGTTGATTTATAACTTATGTGTTGTTTAAATTGTTGCTCATTTGTTAACTCATTTGCTTACATTAGTTGATTCATTTGTTAACACGAACTAACCATGATCAATATATTTTTACAGCACCTAAAAATCATTTGTTCCTTTTATTTAATAAAAATACAGTTGTTCATTGTTTGTTCTTGTTAGTTCACAGTGCATTAATGTTTACAAATATATTATTAGAAATTGACATTATCTAAGATTAATAAATGCTGTAGAAGTATGGTTTATAGTTAGTTCATGTTAACTAAAGTCACTAAATAAAACCTTGTTGTAAAGTGTTACCAAATTGTGATTTGTCTGAATATGCACAATACATTTGAAAATGTGGCATTTGCTGCAATAATTTAATTGTGGTGTGGTGTCTTAAAACATGCTAGACCAGATTCAAAATGACCTAAGTCTGATTTGTAGATTCATCATGTGTTTATAAATAGTAAACTCATGATAAAACATTTTAACAACAGCTTTTAGAGTCTGTGTCAGCAACATTGACTGACAGAATCAGTCAATTTTTAATTTTATTTAATAAATACAACTATTTGATAAATAACATAAAAATTAAGGGAACAGAACATTAACATGTGCAGTTCTAAATTATAATTTAAATTCCATACAAGTGCAATGATTATTAAAGGTTGATAACAACGAAATATGTAGGCTACTTTAGGGTAGTCTTTGTAGTTTTGTGAAGCTGTTGATTGTTATGAGAAGAATTTATTATAGGTCTCAATTTCCAAACAATTTTGGATACATTTGTTTGTTTTTTTGGACCAAGTTGAAAAAAACTCTGACCAAATCTTTCTATACTTTTTGAAGAATTAAAATACTGTCATTATTTCATAAAGAATTAAAGCCCTCGGACTGAGTAGAGAGGGAGTTTTCTCTGTGTGTTTGTGCTAAAGTGCATTTTCGGCATTACTTCATTGAAACTTCATAGAGAGATACGGTATGGAGAAAGCGCTACTATGGTCAGTGGAAGTGGGCCAAGCCACCCGACTTGTGCGTGCGTGTGTGTGTGTGTGTGTGTGTGAGTAACCAGAGCTGAGCAGATCGGATGCCGCACTATGAACAGGACTTCAGTTCTGTCACCCTGTGTCATCTGATGCGCAGGAATCCTGTCACAGAACACATGTTGAATGTAGGTATCATGATTAGAACAGCAGATGAGAGTGTAAGAAACACAGAGTAATTTTATATTGGTTACATCAAATAACTGTTATAATATATGGGATGGTCAGTAATTGTTTTATTTTATGTATTATGGTCATCACTGGATGATACTTTTTTTTTAAGTTACACATTTTTGTCACATTTGTCTGTGTGTGGTATGTGGATTTAATTGTGGTTTTAAAGTCAACATGAAACACTTTCTATTGTCTTAATTCACATTCCTTGTCTTATTGTGCCTGACTCTTGTTTTGGGTTACGTTATTTTAGTGTCCTCCACTGGACTAGTTTTCCAGGGGGACGTTAGAGAAAATCGTGTTTCACAGACGTAGCCTACTTTGCGACTCGTCCGAATCTGCCATGTCTGTGTTTTTCTCACACAACCTCTGTAAAAATTCCAGAGTAAATTACCTACAGTTTTTCGCCGAATTTAGCGGTTCTCTGAGAAATCTAATCCCATCCGAAATGTGAATGTCTGTGATGTTGATGTTGTATTATCCTAACGCTTCTCCTCATGTGTTTACTGAGCTACCGTTTGCATACCACTCTTTAACATGTTTTTATAATATGAATGACGAAAAATATCCAACAAAAAAAGTGTATTATAAAATTAATAAATAGAACAAATTGCATGAAACTATGAAGACACTTAATATCAGTGTCAGGTAAGAATAAGATGCTTGTTTCGCTGCTCACTTATGTGGGTTTAGCCACTTCTATAAACTTGAATAGGGGTTTTATAATAAATTAAACTAAATTAAATAATAACTTAAGACATATATGTCATATGTAATGCACGCAAGCACAGCACATGACCTTCTTTAATGGCCACGTCTAGAAAACACACACTCCCATCTCTGTAATAAACACGGAGATGTTAGTCCCGTCCGAATCGGTACATGAAATCACAGACGTTGAGTGATTAAAAATTGTAACTCAAACGTTGTTTAGAAAAATGTATAATAATTACACTGTAACAAGGACACATAAAATAAAGTGTAATCATTTTCTTTCTTTCTAATCTTTTTCTTGCTCATCTTGTTAATAACATGTAATAACTTGTTCTTCCTCTGCTACAACACCATTTTCAGAGTAATTGTGATATTTATTTGAACACTCCTGAAATTGATTTTTAAAATCCCAATGAGATCTTTTATATTAGTGAAGCAGACTACTTGCATAAAATTCATGTAAATGTCAGTTGTCTTTTTATCTCCCAATAACATGTCTTGGAAAGATGATATTTAAATCCTTCAAGATCAAAGCTCTTTTGTTTTTATTGTGGGGGGCAAAAAAATGACGCAGTGTAATACAATGATGACAGAGATGTACAAATAAACGTTCCTGATGAATCATATTTCATACTCACATTTTAACATAATTTTTCTCAAACATGATGTATGGATAGTCAAGTAATCCGAAGTAGCTTCATTCCAGTAAGTATCCATCTTGAACTATTACTAACTACCAACAATATAAAATGTATTCTTACGTTTACTTTATAAAAATTAGTAAAGATTTCACAGCAAAAAGAGATGTGTACAACAACTTAAGGGTGTCACTTGCATGTGGGTGTAATAAAGTGCATAAAGG